GGCAAATGCTGTTGGACGAAACCAAATCGTGGTGTCATATTTCTCATTTGATCTACCATGGCCAAACCAATTGCTCCTTCAGCTTATCTCTGGCTAGACGTCCCAAGTCCACGTTCACCATGGCCATGGAATGCCATGTTGGGGTCCCTCCTGGAAAAATGATCGACGTGCAAATCAACCCAGAAAATATTCCACCTTCTGTCTTCATCTTGTGGTTGTAAAATAAGCTTTGAGGTGAGATGGTTCCTTCTGATCAGGAGTAGTAGGCCGTTGTGAGTAAATGCCAGAACAAGTTGGTCTCACTGAAATGTAGAACATGGTCTGGTCTTCTTCGACGCAATGGCCATTATAATTGTTTCACCAAGACACCAACACAAGCTCGAATTCCCTCTTCCAAGTTTAATTCAACGTATTAGGACAATCCAAATCGAGAGCTCTTCAATATCATTGGTGAGGCGACAAAAGCAGCAGAAGAATGAAAAAAGAAGATTGATATGCTGNACCAAGTACTCATTTTGATATGCTGACAGTGTAGGAAGGTTGGAGAGTGCGAGTCCATCCAAATGTTGGGTGATATATTGTTAAGGCATGATATTTCCTTTGTATTTTTTTTAGTCTGGCAAAGGAAATTGAGGTAGTAGAATTCAACAATTATTTCAAGCGTACATTGGAGGCTCCAAGCGTACTTTGGTCCTCAAGGTCAACAACAAAGAAATTACAGCCGCTTCTATTTTTTTTNCCTTTTTTTTTTAGTCTGACAAAGGAAATTGAGGTAGTAGAATTCAACAATTATTTCAAGCGTACTTTGGTCCTCAAGGTCAACAACAAAGAAATTACAGCCGTTCTTTTTTTTTTTTTTTTGGGTGCCTAAAACCGGAACAAAATGTCAAAGGATACGACCTCAAAAACATATCTACTCGAAAATTGTTGATATCCAGAATACATTATCAAATTGTGAATTAGACCTACAGGTTTGAGAATGCTAAATATCTAAGGGATACAAATGCAGTGTATAGCAGCACGTTATCACTCAGCTTTTCTGCCGACCGACCAACAAACGGTTTTCTGGAGAGATATTTGACTGAACATACTTGACAAGCTCACATTCAAGTCCATGTTCCTTGAGCCACATAAACCTCCCAACATCTATAATATCCTTACACATCAACCCTACGACGGCTCTATCCACAGCCTTCATATCTTTCACCATGTCTCTGACTTCATATGTATTTAGATCAGATTCTACATGCTCATTTTCCCTGTGAACCACTTGTAGAGGAAATAACTTATAACAGAGTCATTTTAGGAGCAAGAGAAGAGAAAATGTGGTAAGTAAAGAAACCTCTGAGGTCTGAATAATAGAAAGACCATACCTGATCTGTAGATCAAAAGACCAATCAGTGCCACTAAGGTCTGAACCATGATCTGCATCGACGGCCCAGCTGGTAAACCATGTCATGGCATTGAAATCATCCTTGCTGATTCCCGAATTCAACATATATTGCTTATCTGCGGTAGGTATCATTCATGAATTTCGGTAAGTCACAAAGTTATGCTAATGAAAGAACATTTTCTAGGAGAAACTAGAACGGAGTCAAAACTGATATGTGCAACAGAAAGTAGCATGAGATGAGAGCGGGCAGAAGGCAGATTACTTATGTAATGCTTCCACTGACAAAGATGATGACAGCATGTAGCTATAGCTAGGCCGATCATGTGGCAAGTCGATTCAGAAGGAGAATCATCACATTGTTCCCCGATGCAACATCTTAAAGTCATATCTGCATCAAATTGCTTATTGTATTAGTTCATAAAGTAAAACTGGCCTGAAGAAGAATCAAATCCACTGTGTAAAGGCATGGTCTATGTTCTTTTTCTTATAGCAGAAAGAAAAGAAGTACCTGTAGCAGGCCCACAAAGATGTTTACCAATTGCCAGATAAGGAACTCCTTGTAAACTTTCAACATCATCCAATTTTAGGTCCTCAACTGCAAAAAGTTAAAACCCGTTAATTCAAAGTAATAGAGGAAGGTGTTCATCCAGTGAGTCAGGGCGACATGATTAATTTAAGTCTTTTTCATCCTTGTATGATGATAGCTATTTTACTTTCTTGTCAGATCCATGGCTTTCATTTGGGGTTCTGAAATCTATCACTACATATTCCATTGCATAGACATATGGGAATGACCTAGTGAAGNAAAGAGAAATAATTCTGTGCATGTCATATATTTATCCTACGAAACCACCCCAACTCTAAACACAAGAACCGAAATCCTTGCAGAGGATCAAATGCACCAACAACTTGAAGCAAAAATGGCATAAATACTGCAAATATAAGCTACAATTTAGTGAACCAATGATACTACATACACATCACAGCTTGATGACAGCTGGACTCTTTGCTCAAGCCTAAGAACACCTCAGTGTTGCAAGTAAATCATACACATTAGTGACATTACATCATCTTGTATACCAAAGAACACCCACAATCATATGTATTTGTCTGTGAATCATCCAGCATAATGCAACATAACTTTTTTTTTTTATAAGGTAAATTGCAGTATAACAACACTCTTTCTAGTCTAATACCTAGTAATAATAATATACCAAATCTAAGAGCTAATGATAGATGCAATCATTGCAAAAGTGGAAAGGAAAAAAAAAAAACTCACGGCAACTTGACATCTAATCATATAGCATGGCCAGTGAATCAGAAGAAAACTAACATGACATCAAAATAGAGAATCCGGAGCCAAAAAAAAAAAAAAAAAAAAAAAAAAAAAAAAAAAAAAAAAAAAAAAAAAAAAAAAAAAAAAAAAAAAAAAAAAAAAAAAAAAAAAAAAAAAAAAAAAAAAAAAAAAAAAAAAAAAAAAAAAAAAAAAAAAAAAAAAAAAAAAAAAAAAAAAAAAAAAAAACAGTTCAGAACGAAGAAAGGGTTAATTTTTTTATCAGATAAAGTAAAAGGTTAATAAGGCCCTTACAGTCAATTCTCAACCGCTCTAGTGTAACACTCTCTTTCTGTCGCAGACTCCGATCAGCCTATACATAATCTATATGTATTTAAGATTATCCAAGTTGCGGCTAAGTCGTTGAAGCTAGAACTTGTGAAATATATATCGAAAGGTTTGGTAGTAATGTTGTTGGTTAGTGGACTGTTTTGGGAGGCTCAATATGATTATTGTTGATGTTGTTTGGGATGTTTGGTGATTGTATTAACTTGTGGGAAGTCATATAAATAGGGTAGGTTCTGTCCGTTTCATCATAAAATAGGTTGCGGTCGATACATAATAGTTACGACGCTTAAACGCTAACGATAGTGTCATTTCTCTTATTATAGACTAAGGAGTCGTGACATTTTCATAGCTTGAGGTTGGGAAGTATATACAAGGTATGTGAGTCTATCCCCTTCATTCTTTTGCACGACTCCGATTGTACATAATGTAATGCACGAGCTTCCAAAGATACTCTACTCTTAGAAGCTAGAAGTAATTACATTGTTGCCCTTCTTATGGAACGATTGATGTTGATGTGACTTCTCTTATTCATATGTTATCAATATTGTTGGTCCATCCTGATACTTATAATATTCTTGATGAAGAGTTAATCCTAATGACATCTACGGAGGATACCGACCTTACGTCACTCCGAAAGGTTCAAAATGTGATTCCAATGAGTCCAGCACGCATCATATATATGTATCTATTTTACTCTACCAAGCCGCGCTATAGTCGGCCGGGTATGGTAACTATTGTGCAACCATTTATTAGTTGGGTTTTACCGAGCTCCACGTGGTCGAGTACGATTCTACTGAGCCTTATGATGGCCGGGTACATTTTACCGAACCTATTACGACCGGGTACGATATGATGATGATGATTCCCACATAGGCGTATGTTTTAAAAGTTTATGTATATATATGTATGTATCATGCATTTTATGTCAGTAGCCCTCAGAGGTACCCAGATGTCACAGGTTGTATATTCTTTATCCCTGTTTACATTACTGTTCTTACTTATGGTTTCTTGCCTTACATACTCAGTACTTTATTCGTACTGACGTCCTTTTTATTTGTGGACGCTGCATGTCATGCTGCAAGTCCTGATAAACGCGTAGACGCAGCTCCCCCACTACAGTAGGCTGCCCAGTTCAGCGGTTATTGGCGAGATGCCTTCTCCGGACTTGCTGTGGTCTTGGTATGCATTTTTGTTATAGACATTATGGGTATGTCGGGGCCCTGTTACGGCAATGTTGCATCACTTATATTCCTTTAGAGGCTCATAGATAGGTGTCGACTCATGTATGGTTTGGAATGCCTTGTCGGATCATTTTTGTTATATATTCTTTTATGGCAGTATGGTAGCTCGTACCTTATTTATAGTTTCTTGACTGTCTTGTCGTCCCATGTTATATATGTTCATGCCATTATCTTTCATTGTTGGATGTTCATGATCCATGTCTACCATTTATATTGATCTCGTTGGCCCTTAAAGATAATAAGGAAGGTTAGATAAAATGTACATTGGTGCTCGACAAGTATGGCCCGGGTGCTAGTCATAACCCTCCAGTTGGGTCATGACATATTTGACATGTAGGCATAGAGATGTATTATTTCTCATGCTAGCTGATAAATGAAATGTTCTTATCAGTGTTGGGCTTTAATTGTTATACTTGAAAGCATGTCTAAAATCCTGTAATGTGAACGACCTGATTATGATAATTCCTTTGAGTTACTTATTGTTACTGTCATTATTATATATGTGCTGTCATTAATATTGGTTTCTAATTGTCTTCTTCTGAGCCCGTCACTTCTTTAAGCCCAAGGTTAGTTCCGTTACTTATTGAGTACATGGGGTCGGGTGTACTCATACTACACTCTGCACTTCGTGTGCAGATCCATGTATATCTGGACGTGGTGATTGCTAGAGCCGCATTGGTACCAGTATTCGAGAGATTTCGAGGTAGATGTTATGTCGTCCACAGACCTTGATGGTATTAAGTTGCTTTGACTAGATTAGAGTCACTCAGAGGCCGATTCGCGAGGCAAGGATTTTTTGGAGTATTGACCTGCACGTTTTGAGGTAAGTAACATTTCTAAACTTGGAGTTGAGGGTACTTATCCCTGGGAACCATGTTGTTTTTGATGTGTTGGGGTGATACACATGCTATGTGTGGACGTGCACAAGTGTAATCATGATCCGGGTTGACTTTTGGAATATGTTACTATCATACCTTGTTTTATGTGTGTTTTCCATACTTGTTAGATTTATTGAGCTATGATTCATGCTAGAAATCATATTTAGGATATGTGATTATTTGTTTGAGACTTAATGAGGCTATTTCTGTTGTTTTGGATTATTTAACTTTACTAATTATACACTCAGTCATAATTATTCATTTGCATATCATGTCTCGGTCTGTGTTCATCATTCATTATTACATCGTATGTTATTATTGGTTTTCCATATGTGGTGTTGTTGGGATGCGTGATATGAGATTGTGAACTCTTGAGACTTGAGAGGTTGATAACTGAGGTGGGTCTTAAAGCCGTGTTAAGAGTGTTATATGGATCAGGTTGCATACCGCAGCATGCCATATTGGCTTTATTATTATTTGGATCGGGTTGCATGCCGCAACATGCCATATTAACTTTTGATTCGCGCTTGGGCAGGATCTGCCCCTTCAGAGTCTGACATACCAGCAGTGAGCGCAGACATAGTGGTATATGCACGTGCTTTGGTAAGGGGCATTGATGCTAGGCACCCGTACAGTGCTGAGTGATTGTGTATGTGTGATGGAGTGGGCATTTGAGACAGATAACTTAAGTATGTTGAGAGTAAGAGCACATGGGGATACCACCATGAAATCATTCATTTGACATGAATACTTGACATGTAGGCATAGAGATGTATCATTCCTCATGCTAGCTGGTAAGTGAAATGTTCTTATTAGTGTTGGGCTTTAATTGTTATACTTGAAAGCATGTCTAAATTCCTGTAATGTGAACGACCTGATTATGATAATTCATTTGAGTTACATATTGTTATTGTCATTATTATATCTGTGGTGTCATTAATATTGGTTTCTAATTGTCTTTTTCTGAGCTCGTCACTGCTTTCAGCCCAAGGTTAGTTCCATTACTTATTGAGTGCATGAGGTCGGTTGTACTCATACTATACTCTGCAATTCGTGTGCAGATCCATGTATATCTGGACGTGGTGATTGCTAGAGCCGTGTTGGTACCAGTATTCGGGAGACTTCGAGGTAGCTGCTATGTCCTCCGCAGACCTTGACTCCCTCTCCTTTATTTCCTATATTACTGTTCTATTGTCCAGACACTTGTATTGAGGATTTGGTTTGTATTTGGCAGTTAGTAGTACTCATGTACTCATTGATACCAGATTTTGGAATGGATGTAGCAATATTGTTATTATTTTCACTAGATAATTATGATATTTTCCGATGCTAAGTTTATTAAACTATGTTTAATCAAATGCATAGTTATTATATGGTTGTTGGCTTGCCTGGAAAGTAGTGTTAGGCACCACTGCGGTTTCGATAGGAGTTGGGTCGTGACACAGACACAATCACCACCTTAAGCATTTGGATACGATTATGGCTTTATATTTCTGGGAAGAGTAAATATCTTCCCATTTTAGCATATCTCTGATGATTTCTTTGTGATTGGGGTTTATGTGCGATTTGCCCTAAATTCGTCTCTGATTAGGTTTGCATGATTTTATTCTTTCCTTATTTGTTCATCTCCTATTGGTACTATATAAACCCCCTCCCTTTCTCCCTAGAGGCAGATCTAAGTCACTAATACTCTCATACACATAATTCACACATATTATTCTATGTTCTTTTGATTCTATTTGGTTCTACTGTTTGGTTGCTTTGTGGCTGGCTGAAAGCCAAGGCCACTAGATATTGTTTCTTTATACCTTTCCCAGCATAAGCACTGCTTGGGGATCCTAAGAGGTCCTTGTGAACTCTGACTTGCGGATTCGAGGTTCTGGAGATACTATTGGGGTTCTTTGTAATTTCTGTTACCTATGTTACCGTCTTGACAAGTTAGTCTCTTAGCTATTTAATTATACTGTTGCCTGTTTAATTATGAAATCTGCTGTTATTGGCTTTCCAATTGCGTTCTTGTCTTAGTATGCTTATAGGAAATCTTTGCCACTATCTCACACCATGGAGTTCAATTGTTGATGTTTCTGTTAGAATCCTGACAATGCTCAATATCTATTTACGCAATTAGGCCTAGCTAGTCGATTTGGTGAACATTATTTGAATTTGGTGTTTAGGTTGCCATTCTTTGTTGACTGTCCTTCTATAGTTTGTCAGTTTGCTATTAAAGGATGATTCAAATCGGTTGGAACTGATTGACTATCCTTCTTTGTTGACTGTCCTTCTCACTTACTGCTCATTGAGACTTGTTTCTTTCCTTGTTGATAGTGAAATTGTTTGTAAACCTTTGTAACTCGTGATTCATTATGGCCTGGATATCATGTTAAAAATAAATAACAAGCATAATAAGGTATAGTATACATGGCTTAACTTATCACTAGCGTTATCAGTATAAAATCCTTCTTCTTTTCACTATGTTGGCAGTTATCTTCTATGATAGAGACTAAGCACTAGCACTTAGAGAGTCTGCTTCTAGGGGTGTATATTCTGCCTCTCCTAGTTCCTTAACTTGGTAAGCACATGGTTTCGTAAGCCCTGCCATCGAGATCAGTCGAATAATACCTTCAATTGGGCTTCCTTTCGCTGCCACTAAGTTGTGGTGCAATTTATGGTCATTCGTGTTCGTGGAAGCTTTGAAGGCCCAGATGTACTTGGGCTCACAATAGTTAAAAGCGGGTTTGGGATAGTTTAATTCTTGCATAATTATAGACAACATGTCTATAGGTCCAAATAACCTTGCCTGCCACTTGTCAACCATGCTTTTTTGCATATTACTTATTACTAGCTATCATGCCCATAGGACCTCCATCTTTGTCTGTCTCGCTTAGAAATCATGAGCTTATGATCTC